ATATTAGTGAATCTGTAGTAGTAAAAGAAGCCCCCAGGTAAGCAGTGGATGGTAGAGATTTGATGCTACTCAATTTATCTCAACATCTACTTACTGTGTTCAGACATGAAAACCTGTTTTAAATTTTCCTGTTTACTTTGATGGGCCCTGTTCTACATTCTCCCTTCAATAATGTGTTCCTGTTACACAACCATCCCTGAATTTAGTAGAAATATTCATGTTTTCTTTTTCTCTCTCATTTTCACCCTGGGGCTGGTTCCAAAGTCCACATGAAGCCCTAAGTCAACATCACTTAGCTGCAAGTAGCTAAGAAAGAGAAATTCTGAGCTCTACTCCAGAGAATACTAATGAACATATATGCAATGGGAAAAACTATAACCATGAAAATGAACCAACTACATCCACAAGCAGCAGACAGGTGACTCTCAGGAGTGTCACCAGGCACACACAGTATTTCTCCACTTAAATACACTGAGCTATGCCAGAAATGAGTGCAAAGCTCATGCAATGAGTATTCTAAGAAGCAAGCAAAGGAACACCAAGGAGATGGCAGTGGGGATCCTCCTGAGGGACCAAAGTCACCACAAGGGCAATTATTAATAGTGAATCTTAATTTCTTCAAAGCTTATTGATCAGTAAAACTCAATATTGCATCATCACCTCAGGTATTTATCATTTCAACTTTTTTTCTTTTTTTAGTACCAGAATCAAACTTGGGCCCTTGCACTTGCCAGGCAGGTGCTATGTCACTTAGCTATAGCCCCAGCCCCAGTTCAGCTTTTCTTAAGCCAAACAGTGATGTTAGAGAATTCAATAGAATTAATTTTTTTAAAAGCTCTTCTGGATAGGTTTCTTTTTCTTTGGTATCAGGAACTGAACTCAGGATCCTGTGCTTGCCAGGCAGATGCCTGTGCCGCTGAGCTATATCCCCGGCCCCTGGATGGGTTTCTAAAACTTTCCTCCAATTTTCAGGTCAAACCTAGACCAATCTTCACACTTCTGTGGAGGGAGAAGGACAGCTCCTAATGGCCTCGCCCATGCCCTGGAGCAGAGCCAGCCATCAGGTTTCCTCACCTTAGATCAGAGCCAGCTTTACCTTTCCTCACTGCTGTTGCCTCCTGCAGTGTCTCCCAGACACTTCTGGCCCCTGCTGGGATGGGAGGTTTGTGTTTCTTCACAAAACCAGCACTGCTAAATCAGTAGATAACAACCAGGGGGAAACAGAGAGGAAAGATGCAGATTTTGACCAAATTTTCTGAACCATACCGTGACCCCACAGCCATCTCTGCATTCTGTGATCAGCCCACAGGACTGACAAGGAAAGCACGGCCACTTTCTTCTAGGGGGACAGGGTCAGCAAAGATTCCTCCGTGGACTGTGATTCTGCCAGAATCCAAATAGGCTGATTTCCAAATAGTGATTTCAGTCACTGCTCTTTCTCTTGGATCTAAACAGGACGAAGGCCAGCGTTTAGCTGGGAATGGCAGTAGAGCACACCAGTCAGTCAGGCCCACACACTGGGGAGAGTCACTCTCTCACCAAAAGGTTCATTTTGCAGCTGAATCCAGGTGAGAGAAAGCCCTGCCTGGAGGCTCCTGCGGCTCTGCTCAGCCCTGCTGTGATCAACCCCCTTGGCAGGTCTTCTGCCAGAAAAGGAACAGGACTTCTGGGCCACTGGTCTATCCACGTGGATGTGGGGCTGATAGCCTCCCTCTGGAACTCAACAGAGCCTGACATCCCTCCCTCCTGTCAGGCACCCCCTTACTCAATAATTGGAAAATTTTTTTGCTTGGGGTATTGTAGGAAGTGCAGGGGAGGTTACACCACAACCAACCTAACTCCTTTTGAGACACTTTAGCAAATTTTAATACTTGATTTCAGTAAGGAGCTGTGCCTTTCTCTCTTCACTCTAGTTCAGAAACTCAGATTTAAAGCCATGGCAGCACCCGGTGCCAACAGTATCTTTGCACAGGGTAAGAATTCCTGCGGGACCTTGGGATTAATCTTCCCATCCCTTCCCCCACCTGCTCTGGGGATAGGCTGGGTACAAAGTACATACCAGGTGGAAGTGGCTGACAACCAGCCTAGGGCTTCCTGAGAGGCCAGGACAATTGGAAGTGGGACTTTTAGGTAAACCAGTGGGTAGATCTGCACTTGAAGAACCAGAGAATCAGTATATGTTACCAGAGTCCCCACAACTGTGGAGCTCTAAGGGGAACGAAATTTTCCTCAGGTGCACCCAGGAAATGATGTCAGTCCCCTCCCCATGAAAGCAGCATTTAGGGTATATGACGTGTTGCTGTGCCAGGTTTTGTAACCTAGCTTGGGCTGTCACGCTTACAGGTCTATAGCTTGGCCCCTGTGAGTGAGTCTAGCAGGGCATGGTAATGGCTCTGTGAGCAGAAGTGGCCTGATATCAGGTTGAAGTCTCCAGATGCCTCTGGTCCTACTTGGACCAGGGTCTTCTCAAGGTCAGGGACAGAGCATGAGTCATGTAAACTTCTGATGACATCACCTTGCCCACGCTCCATTGGTCAAAGTAAATCATGTGACCAAACTCAGTCTTTTGGTCAGGTATAAGGCTGAGGGAAAGGGGGAGATTCCTACTGATTCTCCAACTTACCACAGTAGGTCTACTGTGATAATGACTGCTCAAGGTTGTATATTTGGACACAATGAAAACTGATGACCAATGGAGGGAAGTAACATAGGAGGGCCACTGCTCCCTCACACAGGCATACAAACGTGCAGATTATCTTCAGTCAGACACTAGAAAGGAAAGCCATGCGGATCACGATGTAACCACAGATGCACAAAAAAATCCCCTGAATGTCCAGGAAAGCACTTTGGAATCTGATATGGACACTCACAAATATGCCTTTCCTTATGTTCCTATTTCCAAATGAGATAGGAAACTCAAGCAACACAAAATATTATGTTGAAGGCCAGGTGTGGTGGTGTACGCCTATAATCCCAGTACTTGGGAGACAGAGGCAGGAGGAACTTTTCGAGTTTGAGACCAGCCTGGGCTACAAAGTGAGCTCAAGGCCAGCTTGAACTACATAGCGAGACCCTGTCTCAAAAAGACAAAAAACAAACAAACAAAAAATACTGTGTGGAAAAAAATGATTACCAAAATCCCCACAAACATTTGAGTCCATTGTAATTTATTATTTGCAATAAAAACAGGTTTGCTTTATATGTGAGAAAGTAAATTTATTTGTGTACCTTCTGCTTTAATTTTTCAAGACAATGTCCCAAATCAAACTATCACTATTTTGAAGTTTGGTACTCACTTTAGGAATATTCACTGTAAGTGGATAATGAAGACCTTCTGAGTAACGGCTCAGAAGTCAGGCTATGGGACAAGGAGATGCTGGCTCGGATTCCCATCGGCCTGCAGAGTCATGTGGCTCTTGGTGTCTCATTTCACTTCTCTGGCTCTTTCCTCCTCTGTTTCTCACTGAAGGGGTTAAATGAGAACCTGTACTCCAAAATGATAGTTATTATCTTATGATTCGCTTGTTGTACTTCTGCATTTAAATTTTACTTATCCTCTTTATTCTTTTATGTGTTACTTCAAGATAGCTAGTTATAGTAAAGCTCTTATAACCAAATTAGGCAAATGTACCCAACTGTAGTTGCCTTATGTTTCTGGTGATTTCACCTCTTTTGCAACCCATCACACATCCCACAGGAAGAGGACACAGGACCTGACAGTTAGGTGAAGGTTGCTATGGTGGCGTAAGTAAGTCAGTTCCAGCTGCTCCGGGGTGGACACGAGCCCAGGGACCATTAGAAATCACTGAGTGCTGGGAAGGACAGCTGTGGGCCACAAATGCTGCTATAGAAAAGCAAGCGGGAAGGGAAGCTATAAAAGGAGGTAAGTTGTAATTGCAAGGACTTCAGGAATCAGTCTGTATCTTCCAGAATTTGAAATCAAATAAGTCAGTCCAAGCACAAAAGCTAAGTATGTGAGCAGCTGACTGTGGACACTTCTCAGGGAGGGAACACGTGTTCATGTGTGCACATGTGTGTGTGAGCATGCAGCCTGAGCGTACAGAAACCATAGGGAGACCAGACAGCACTGTGTGTGTGTGTTTGTGTGTGTGTGCATGCTACACACAAGATGTGTGGCCACTCTCGACACATACAGTCTGACGCAGGAATAGGGCATGCCCGTGTCTGGGACAGCACTCCTTACCATGGCCTCACATTCCATCCACCGCCCTGGAACTTGGCTGTGAAGGGCTGAGCACCTGTGCAGGACAAGTCCTCTCCACTCCTGAGTGATGGCACTTCCAGGATGCAGAGTGGTGTAGCAGCTGCGCAGAGGTTTACAGATACATACTTTCATTATATATAGCTATACATGGTTAGATACAATGTTATTATATAAAATCATATAAAGTATGCATGAAATGATATATATACAGTATTACTGTTTGCACTAATTCATTTGTCCATTAACAGAAAGCAAGGTGACAGACACCTGTGTGCTCCAAATGGACTAGATTCCCAAACTAAGTCAAACGAGAAGTCAGGGGAACCTTGAGCCCTCCCCAGTTATTACTGGCTGGAAGGCTAACTGGACCAAGGCCCTGAATTTACAAAGACAGAAGTCAGATGCTTAGACTAACTGAATGTGGATTCCACACATATACCAAAGTGCTGGCCGGACGGATTTGGGCCGTTCAGAAAAGAAATATTTAGAAGTTGGTTCTAAAATGGATACTAATTAAATGAGCTTGACAATGCACTCTGGGCTCTGAGTGTGTGTGTGTGTGTGTGTGTGTGTGTACAGCCTGACCATGAAAAGGGCCTCTATCTTCCTTGTATATTGCAAGAACCCCTTTTCCCCATCTTTAAGAGTTCCGCTTGACAGGGAGTGGTAAGATAAATATGTTTCTGATTCTCCTAAATCCATCTGACAGTTTTGGGGAGCTACCCAGGCACTTCAGGGAAGGACATTTATCCAACATGTTCCTCTCTTCTCACACTAGGCAGACTATGGCCAATGGTGACACTGATGGCAAGTCTGGAAGAGTACAGACAACCCTGAAATGTACTTTTTATGGGGCAGCCCTAAGTTGACAAGGACATGGCCAACACAACATGACCACAGCGGGGCACTTACCCTAGTATGTGCTGCAGCCAGCTCCCACCAGCTGTCAGAATCAGTTGTTGACTTTGCGGGGATTTTGCAAACTAGTTGTGGATCACAGCCATGGTGAAGCAATGTAGAACTGCACACTACTCCAATCCCTCCGACTGTACAGAAGCTAAAAAGATGGTACTATTGCAATGGGCAATGCTGAAATGGGAGAGGTTTTGTTTCAATCCACATAACTGATGCAAGGCAGGGTGGGAAATCACCTAGGAGCCTATCACATTCAACTGAATAACAGATTTTGGGAGTAGAGTGAGCAGGTTGGAATCATAGTTGAGTGGCTCCTAGAGGCTGTTTGCAGACACGAAAGTTTGGCACGAGTCCTTGAAAGCGTCTTGTGAGGACACACTGGCCACATCGTCTGCACAGTGAGGAATACTGTATGTACCTTTTATCTGTGATGCTGTGCTTCACACCTTTCTAGCTGAAATATTAAAGCACAAAAAACATATGCATGGTGTGATCAAACATGCAGTAAATGTTTAAATATTTAAAAATTTATTACAGTAAAAGATACATTGCCATTAATCATCTTTGTTGTAGTCAGGGTTTGCAGGGAATAGATTTAATAGAGAACACATAATTTATAGGATTACTTTATAATATTCACTCAAAAAAGTCAAGTGCAGAAGAGTGCAAGCGATCTGTCCATACACTAGAAACCCAAAGAATCCAGTTGAGGGCTGGGTCCCATGGCAATGTCCTGCACAAATCCAGCTGGAGGCCTGGAGCCCATGACAATGTCTCCTGCAAGTCTGTATCAAGGATCTGCACTGAGAGGGCTCAAAGGTCAGTGGTGGAAACTAGAAAGTCTGCACCAGCGGTGTGAAGGATCTGTGTCACCAGATCTGAGAGATCTGCACTGGAGCCAGGAAGTGACACTCAAGGTAAGGACCAGAGCTCTTCCAAAGGGAATCACAATCATCCTCTGCGACAGCAAGAATCTGAGCTCCTCCAATGATGAGAACAGCTGGGTTTGTATCAGGAAAACCAGCGTGACAAGCTTCTCCAGAAGAATCAACAGCACACCATCTTCCCTTCCAGTTCTCCTTTTATGCTGTTGGTAACAATCCTCAGGTGGTCTTCCACACCCAGCACAGCGCTCATTCAGTTCAGCTGGGCATTACAAATTGATCATTTATTAATCCACCTCAACCTTCAAAATACTCCCCCTTACCTCAAACATACTTATCCCATTGTTCTCGCCACTTTCTGACGCAGTTCTGGAAGTCCTTTTTCGTGTCTTTTGCTGTGTTGTGATGGCTGCCTCTGTGTCCTGAATCAATTCAAAATGTTTCCCTTTCATGGTTGTTTTGACTTTGGAGAAGAGCCAGAAGTCTTGCAGTGCCAGATCCAGTGGACACACCCTCGTGTTTGTACAAGCCTGACTTTCTGTCGGATGGCGCTAGACAGCAGCATTCACTGTGTTTTTGATCACATCTCAGAGACACTCATAAAAGAGGACTTCTAGAACTGCTTCAGAAAGTGGTAAGAATATACGGTAGTGGGATAAGTGTGTTTGAAGGGAGAGGAAGCACAAGGTTGGGTAATGGCATTGTGTCTTTTATTGTAATAATTTTAAAAAATTTAACTAGTCACCTTATATTTCAATCACACCTCCTCTAAACAATTTTCCTTCCTACTAGAGGGGCAATTGCTAACCATTTACCAGCACTTTTCCACTGACCCCTCCTCCGCCCTCCTCCTCCCTACATGCTTTCTGATCTAAAAATAAATTTCCTGGTATCAGGACAGGGAGTAATCTGAGCCCAGTTTCGAGGATCCTGGGTGAAGGAGCTATTGTCTGGCCTTGGAAATCTTCCAGACTCCAAAACAGACCTGTTCCACTTGCTGTGACACTCTAGGACTGGGAGGGTCACTGGCTGCACAGTGACAATAGGGAAATCTCAGAAAAGAGCAACGTTTCTGCAGCCGGAGACCGTAGGCCTTGTCTCCACAGCCAGCATCAATGTGTTTCTTTAATTCAAATCCCACCGTGAGCAGTGGTAGCTGGTGTGATCTCAGGCGCTGCCCCACAAGAAGCCCCCACTCACACCAACACCAGCCCACCCAAAGCTGATGTTTTTGCACTTGCCCTCAGGGCAAGTTTGTGAGCTGCCTAGAAGCCAGTCTTATTTCTAGGTTTTCACCAAAAATTTATTATCCAGCATTAATTTTCACTGTGTTTACCAAAAAAGTTCCAGGCAACTTTGCTTGTTTGTAGAAGAAAAATCCCATTTCATAGTTTAAAGCTGACACTGTGGGGAATGGTGGTGTGAAATAAGAAGTCATTTTTTATATCTAAGACATGCTGTCCAGGCCACACAGCCAAAATAAACAAATTTTGGAGGGAATCCCAAAACAGCTTCCTGACAATTTAAAGCCAAGCCTGAGTCGTGAAGCCAAGTGCAGACCCTCCCGAGGGACTCAATCTTTGGGGCAGCCCTGTATGGACCACACTGGTGCTGCTGTGTGGCTCTAAGTGGTCTCATCATTCCTAAAGCTGCTTCTCAGTTGTGAGCCAAAGATCTTGAGGCCTTGCTCCAAATGTAAGTCAGTGTCCCCTGCCCTCTGCAGCTCTCCAGGCTGTTCTTCTCTGGAGTTCCATAGTCACAGCTTCATCTGCTTCTGCTGTCCGGACTCTGGGTCCACCTTGGCTTGGAGGCAGGGGCTAACTCTCACCCTGGATGGCCTGGCTTGGTATCTCTGGGCTATATGTGTTCTGGGGGCTCATGAGCACACTGAGGAAAAGCCACCTCTATAAACCTCTGGAAAACAGATATCAGGAGCACCAGGCTGGTCCATTTGCAAAAGGGTAAACTGAGGCAAAAAAAACTCACCCTCACTGCCACCTCAGACACCTGCTGGGCACATCCACACTGTCATTCAGTCCTCACACTGCCAGCAAGCTGGGTGCTCCTAGCCACTACCTGTGTTGGACACAGCTAGTGAATCAAGTGCTACCTGTGGAACGTATCACAGGCTATTCTGCTTGCAGGTCTCTGGAGGTAACTCCAGGTGCGTGCTGCGTGGGTCATGATGGCTCTGCCCTTAGCATGAGTGAACATCAACAGACTATACAATGGGTTGGCTCAGAACAAGACCCAATGGGCAGCAGAACATACCAGTGAACTCTGAATGATTCTCTTTGGAACTCTGTGTGGGGCCAAAAAGATGTCAGTAGTGAGTGGACAAGCTTGTCCAGGTGTATGAACAGACCTCCTGGATGTTCTGCACCCCTACCCGACACCTCTCCCTGCGCATCTCTTCATCTGAGTCTTTGGTAATATGCTTTGTAATAAACTGGTAACTAAACTGGTGTTTCCCTGAGTTCTGTAAGCCACTTGGGCAAATTAACTAAACCTCAAGAAGTCATGAGAATCCCAACTTACGGCCAGTAGGTCAGAAATTCAGATCACAGTCTGGGGCTACAAGTGATAACTGAGGTACAGAGCAGTCTTATAGGACTGTGGAGGTCTGACATTGTCTCCAGGTGGGTAGTAATTATAAGGGTCAGAAGTATAGTAATTAAATTACAGGGGTCACAAGTGTGTTGAGTGAACTTTAGAGGGAAAAATATGCTTTTCACTATATATGTGCCTGTTATGTGACTGATCCACGGTCCAATGCTGGGATTATGGGTGTGAGTGCTACACCCTCCCTGGGTGGACCAGCAGCATAAACACAAGGGAGGGAAAGAGACTTGCTCTCGGCTCCTCCCTTTTTGCTCTTGCCGCTTTTGCAGTTTTCCACAGCCGTGAACTGTTGCCCTCTGCCATGTGCCACTCTGCCTTGGAGTCAGCTGAGTATGGACTGAAACCTCCACAAATTTGGAGTTAAATAAATCTTTGCTTCCTTAATTCTGGACATCAGGTATTTTGTCTCAGCAATGAGAGAAAAGTAACCAAGACAGTTCCCACTCCAAATCACATCTATGGATCATTTTGCTCCCCTGATGGAGGCATTGTTTGGGTGGACACCAGCCCGCTCAGGGTACGACCCTGCTCCCTGTCATGGAAACAGGACGGAGGAAGAACCCTCAGATTGGCATGATGACTGAGGAGACAGTTTTCCCATGTACTTTCCCACATCTCTTTTAACACTGGAAATACAAAGTGTCATTTTCATAATATTTTTATTTATTTCCAGTTGGGACCAGACTCAAGATCAGTACAGACTATTGAGAAAATAAAAAATGGCCAGATATATGTTTTACAAATTTTCAAGTGGGATTTGGATATCAAAATATCATTCCTTAAATATATCCATACAATGGTGTATTATTCAGCCTGAAGAAGGGAGGAAATTCTAACACGTGAAACAACTTGGACAAACTTCGAAGACATTATGCAGAGTGAAACAATTCAGTTAACAAAGGGGAAACACTGTGATTCCTCTGATGTGAGGTCCCTGGAGTAGTGGAAAGAGAATGGTGGGTCCAGGGGCTGGGCAGAGGTGGGGAGGAGTCCTATGGGCAGGCTCAGTTTGGGAGGATGGAAATGCTCCAGAGATGGATGGTGGTGACAGCTGCACGGTATGAATGCACTTAATGCCACAGGACTGCACGCTGTATCACGTCGTGTGTATTTCACAGCGCTCACCCCTCCCCCTTAAGCCAAGCTTGGTCCTCTGTCAGCCCCTGGGACTCTGGATCTCAGTCCTGCAGGTGCTCCACACAGCAGCACCCTCCCGCACAGCAGACACCGCTGTAGGATGGCCTGTCACGCTCTCTGCAGGACAGCACTCCTGAGATGTTCACCAAAGCCTTCATGACAGCAAGAGGGGCGGGGCAGGACCCAGATGAGGACAATACACTGTGCACTTCAACAGCAAAAAAAGGGATTCCAGGTGAGGTCAGTATAAAGAAAGGGTAAATGTTGGAGGGCAGATGCCCTGATATAAGCACCACACACAGCGTGCACAAGTACTGAATATCCCAAGATGCCCCGTAAATATTGAAAGGCTTAAAAAGAGAGACAAAAAAAGAGACATGGGAAGGTGCAGATAATGTTTGGTTCCTTTCTTCAGGGTCAAAGACCTCTGATAGGGAGCACCAAGATGGCCTGTCTTGTGCCCAAGGACCTGATTAACATTTGGACATCTGCTCAGTCCACCCACAGGCCACTCTGGCGTTAGCAGAATGAGTCATTTGACTGCTTTCTACTCAGAGAGGCCACTGCTCCTCTTGTTTATTTTGAAAACAACTCTCCGCCTCCACCAGCTGACAGGGGCCTGTGTGCTGCTGCTTTTGCCCTATTGAAGGCCACCAGGTCTGGCAGCCTTGGGCAATGCATTTCCTTCTCTGCCTTTCCAGGTCAAGCCAGCTTTATTGATTCAGAGCAGGTGACTACAAGACAGCGAGATGCAGCCTCGGGCAGGGCAGACGGTGCTGAGCCAGGTCCCGCTGCCTCATGTGCC